TTCAAATCATGATCCATGGGGGTAGAGCAAGGCCACAATAGTTATTACAAGGGGAGAAGCTGGTGAAGAACAGCATGACCAAAGTGACTCAGGTGAGCGTTGTGGCCCATGGCCTCTTGTTTTCTATATATTCCCATGTGATCCCCTATTGTGGCCCCATCCAAACACTGGATGTATAATTTATATGCATTTTTAAAGAAAAATTAGAATCTCCGTACGCTATAACTTAGAAGTGTTCTGGTCATGTGATTCCGGAAAAGATTTTTTGAATGATCCCATCTTATATTTTCCTAAAATTCTTGAATTCCCTTGGAATTGTGCTTGATCATGAATAGCTAGCTTTATAATTACCAATGTTGCTTTTGCATGTTTTGCTTGAAATTGGATTGATGATTCTTGAGAAGTAGAAAATGTAAAAAAAAAAAAAAAAATTAAAGATGGATAAGCAGACCAATGGAACAAGGATTCTTGCATGATTCACAAAGCTGAAAAGTTAGCTGACCAGTAGATAGAATGTTCTATCGTTAAAATAATATTGTCCTACGGACCCGGTTTAACGATAGAATTCGTTCCGTGTATTCGTAATGTAGCAGAAAGAAACACGGGCGATAACTCGCATAGTGCATTTACTAGGAACAATCTAGAGAGTTCCGAATGTAAACATGGCAGGTAATTTGAATCTAGAGAAAAACGTTGAGAAAATTAATTGGATTTTCGTATTTCTATGGATTATTTTTTGGGATAAAAGGCATAAGCAATCTCAAGAAGGTTTGTTTTGATTATTTTGGTAGTTATTCCCAGTGCAAATCATTTTATATTCTTCAAAATCGTTTCGGAGCGGATCCGCTCCGATTTGCTACATTGCAAGTATATGGGACGTATTCTAACTGTGGTGATGGCCTGTACCGAGACACAGTTAGATTATTCTAACTAGCTGACCAGGTGAGCTAAAAAGACATAACTTTGTTTTCAACAGATTGATACAAGATCAGACAGGTAATCAATGAGAGAGCATTTGTTTTCGCATAAGCGTTGCAACTCTCCCAGTTTCTGTCATCAATCCAATTAAAAAAAAATATTTTATATAGTTTCAGGATATATGTAAGCATTTTCTGTAATTAGTGAAACCATGCATTAACAATTAACTCGTACCAGAATTTTTTTTTACCTAAAATCCAAGTGACAATGTTAAACAACTTAGCAGTTTCTAAAACTCATTTCTTTAAATAATAAGTGGATCAAATCACTTACTTGGGGTTAGGGTTGAATTAATTAACAATTAAAACCTATACGAAATATATTATACTCGAGTTGTCAATAATCCGATAACCCCATCACGTTGCATCATAACATCATTTGTAAAATTATTTAAAAATGGACTTGTACGGAGATGATACTGAACCTGTAGACGGTGGTGAAGATTTATTCAAACCAGAATATAAAAGATACAAGAGAAAGGACAGGAAACTCGATCTGAGTGACGTCATTGACTTGACGAAGCAGACAAATATGGACAAGGTATCCATAATCCTTCTGATGCAATGCTAACTAGTGCTAATTGTAACGGGGACCGTTACAGATGTTCCCCAAACGCTCCCCAACTCCATTTTGGTGCCATATTCCCTGTTATCTCTATTAAATAAGAAATACTTTATGGAATTTAGACTTCATCAAGGTCTTCCAAGAAAAATACAAAATATATTTTTAAAAAAAGGCATTGCACGCGTGTTCATGTGCGTAACGACCATATTATCTTGTCTACACTATCTAAAATTTTAATAATATCAAAGCATTTAATCCAAAAGTATTAAAAAATGCACTCATTCGAGTGTATTTTTTATTTTACTCATTTCACGTGCACGCACGTGCAAGTTCTAAATCCCATCCTGTTTGGTTGAAAAACAAGAGAGTTATAGCCATTTGAAGTTTCAGCCAATCAGATTGCAGCACACGTGCATGCGCGTGATTTCATGAATATTTTCTATATCATATTTTAGGATATCGTGCATGCGCGTGATTTCATGTAATGCATAACTATGTTTTAAATTTCAAAGCATTTCGTCAAAAAACAAAGGAGATATTGCCATTTAAAGTTTTAGCCAATCAGATTACAGCACGCGCGCATGCGCTTGCTTTTATTAAAATTTTAATATATCATGCTGTAGATCTTCATAATGTAGGACCATGTTCAAAATTTCAAAAGATTATGACAAGAAACAAGAAAGATATTGAGACTTTAGTTTCAGCCAATCAGAGCAAAGCGCACGTGCATGCGCGTGAGATCTTGCTATTTTGACCATGCCATCTTGTCTATACTACTAATGTATCCTTACATTATGAGTTTCAAAGCATTTTATCAAAAAATAGAAAAGTTCCGACTATATCTATTATATTGGTTATTTCAAGTGTTGCACGTGCGCGCTCTTGCAAGCACGTGCGCGCAAAATGACCTTGATTCCGCAAATCTGCATAACATGTCTACTTACCCTAAAAAGGTTTTACCTACCTAGGACGAACAGTTTACAAGATCATTCCCGGACAAAAAAGTACCCAGGAAGAAGAAGAAGAAAAATAATAATAACTAGTGCTAATTGTAACGGGAACCGTTACAGATGTTCCCCAAACGCTCCCCAACTCCCTTTTGGTGCCATATTCTCTGTAAGCTTCATTAAATAAGACAAATTCTGGTAATTTAGACTTTAACAAAATTAACCCAGAAGGATACCAATCATATTCAAATTTTAGCATTGCACCCGTGCGCATGTGAATGCATGTGCGTTATGACCATATCATCTTGTCTACACTATCTATATATTTAAATATACTATATATCAAAGCTTTCAGTCCAAAAGTATTAAAAATCATTCATTTAAATGTATTTTTAATTTCACTCGTTCCAAATGCACGTACGTGCGTGCACGTGCATGATGACCATACCTTCTTGTAGGAGTTCCTTATATTTATCTATGTTCTGAATCCCATCCTGTTTGGTTGAAAAACAAGAAAGTTATAGCCATTTCAAGTTTCAGCCAATCAGATTGCAGCAAACGTGCATGTTCGTGATTTCATGAATTTTTTTGTAAATCATATTGCAGGATATCATAATGTCAAACTATGTTTTAAATTTCAAAGCATTTCGTCAAAAAACAAAGGGGATGTAGCCATTTAAAGTTTCAGCCAATCAGAATGCAGCACACGTACATGCGCGTGATTTCTTTCTTTTTTCTGTACATCATATTGCAGGGTATTCCAAAGTATGGCTATGTTTTAAATTTCAAAGCATTACATCAAAAAACAAAGAAGATATAGCCTTTTAAAGTTTCAGCCAATCAGATTGCAGCACACGTGCATGCACGTGATTTCTTGAAATTTTTTTGATATAATATTGTAAATTATCCTATTTCATTACTATGTTTAAAATTTCAAAGCATTTCGTCAAAAAACAAGAGATATTGAGATTTTTGTTTCAGCCAATCAGAGCGAAGCTCACGTGCACGCGCGTGAGTTCGAGCCAATTTGACAGTGTCATGATATTAACACTATTAATATATCTTTATGTAATGAGTTTCAAAGCATTTCATCAAAAAATGTAAAAGTTATGGCCATAATAAGTATATTGGTCATTTCACTCACTTCACGCGCACGCACGCGCAGGCGTATGCGCGCAAAATGACCTTCGTTCCGCACACCTACACTACACACCCATTAACCCTAAAAAGGTTTTAACTTAGTTTGGTGAACAGTTTCTGAGAACACTTCTGGACAAAAAAGTACCGGAGAAGAAATAAGAAGAAAAAAGAATAATAACTAAAAAGAACATAATAATAATAACTAGTGCTAATTGTAACGGGAACCGTTACAGATGTTCCCCAAACGCTCCCCCAACTTCATTTTGGTGCCTCATTCCCTCTAAGCTTCATCAAATAAACTAAACTCTATGCATCTTAAACTTAAATAACGTTTTTCCTAATTTAAAAGTATACCAAGTATATAGCAAATTTTTGCATTGCACGTGCGCACACTTGCATGCATATGTGGAATAACCATATCATTGCATCCACACTATTAATTTATTCTAATGTACTTCATATCAAGGCATTTAATCAAAAAGTATTTGAAAATACGCTAAATCAAGTGCATTTGTAATTATACGCATTGCACGTGTACGCACGTGCATGCATGTGTATGATGACCATACCTTCTTGTAGGGGTCCATTAAGACTATCTATGTTCTAAATCCCATCCTGTTTGGCTGAAAACCAAGGGAGTTATAGCCATTTAAAGTTTTAGCCAATCAGATTGCAGCGCCCAAGCATGCGCGTGATTTCATGAAAATTATTTTATATCATATCGTAGGATATTTTAATGCATGACTATGTTTTAAATTTCAAAGTATTTCGTCAAAAAACGAATAAGATATTGAGATTTTTGTTTCAGCCAATAAGAGCGAAGCGCACGTGCATGCGCGTGAGTTCATGATAATTTGACCATGTCCTCTTGTCTATAATATTAATATATTCTTATATTCTGAGTTTCAACACATTTCATCAAAAATAGAAAAGTTACGGCTATATCAATTATATTGGTCATTTTACATGTTGCACGTGTGCGCTCTTGCAAGCACGTGCGCGCAAAATGACCTTGATTCCGCAAATCTACATAATATGTCTACTTACCCTAAAAAGGTTTTACCTACATCAGATGAACAGTTTACAAGATCATTCGCGGACAAATAAGTACCCAGGAAGAAGAAAAATAATAATAAGAAACAGAGTAAAAACAATATGTTCCCCAACTTCGTTTGGGGAACATAACTAGTGCTAATTGTAACGGGAACCGTTACAGATGTTCCCCAAACGCTCCCCAACTCCCTTTTGGTGCCATATTCCCTGTAAGCTTCATTAAATAAGACAAACTCGGTGCATTTTTGACTTTAACAACGTTTTCCCAAAAGGATACCAATTATATTCAAATTTTTGCATTGCACCCCAGCGCATGTGAATGCATGTGAGTTATGACCATATCATCTTGTCTACACTATCTATATATTTTAATATACTATATATTAAAGCATTCCGTAAAAAAAGTAATAAAAATCACTCATTCAAGTGTATTTTTAATTATACTCGTTCTAAATGCACGCACGTGCGTGCACGTGCATGATGACCATACCTTCTTGTAGGAGTCCCTAGCATCGATCTATGTTCTAAATCACATCCGGTTCGGTTGAAAAACAAGGGAATTATAGCCATTTCAAGTTTCAGCCAATCAGATTGCAGCACACGTGCATGTGCGAGATTTCATGATTTTTTTTCTATACCATATTGTAGGGTATCCTAATGCATGACTATATTTTAAATTTCAAAGAATTTCGTCAAAAAACAAAGGATATATAGCCATTTAAAGTTTCAGCCAATCAGATTGCAGCACGCGCACATGCGCATGCTTTCATGAAAATTCTTTTATATCATGCTGTAGATCTTCATAATGTAGGACCATGTTCAAAATTTCAAAGGATTATGACAAGAAACAAGAAAGATATTGAGACTTTAGTTTCAGCCAATCAGAGCGAAGCGCACGTGCATGCGCGTGATATCTTGCTATTTTGACCATGCTATCTTGTCTATACTTCTAATGTATCCTTACATTATGAGTTTCAAAAAATTTCATCAAAAAATAGAAAAGTTACGGCAATATTCATTATATTGGTCATTTCACGTGTTGCACGTGCACGCTCTTCCAAGCACGTGCGCGCAAAATGACCTTGATTCCGCAAATCTACATAACATGTCTACTGACCCTAAAAAGGTTTTACCTACATCGGACGAACAGTTTACAAGATCACTCCCGGACAAAAAAGTACCCAGGAAGAAGAAGAAGAAAAATAATAATAATAAGAAACAGAGTAAAAACAATATGTTCCCCAACTTCGTTTGGGGAACATAATAACTAGTGCTAATTGTAACGGGGACCGTTACGGATGTTCCCCAAACGCTCCCCAAATCCCTTTCTGTGCCTAATTCCTGTAAGATATTTTCAAAAATATGATCAGTATCGAAGGATTTCATCAAAGAATTATAAAAGCTACAATGATATAAAATATATGTCAATTAACGCATTGTATGCGCAGGCACGTGCATGTACATGCAAGATGATCATGCCATGTTGTCCATACAATTAACATATCTATATATCGTGAAAATAAATGAAAAAAAATTTTTACAATATACATTTCAATGTTTTTTTTAAATATTGGCCATTTTGCGTATTTCGTGCGTGCACGTGCATGAATGCATGTTCGTGCATTCAATTTTATAGTAACATTATGTAGGAATCCATTATACCTAGTCATATTATAAATTTTATCCCGTTTCGTTGAAAACTAAGAAAGTTATAGACATTTAAATTTTCAGCCAATCAGATTGCAGCACACGTGCATGCGTATGCTTTTCATGATAATTCTTATATACCATGCAGTAGATCTTTATAATGTCTAGCCATGTTCAAAATTTCAAAGG